TACTTTGCAATCTCTTATTTCAGAGATATAAAATGTGAATTCTGTGCTAAAGATCATAAAACTAGTGAGCATAAATATGAAATATACACAAAAAGAGATGAAATATGTTAATATACTCTGCTTAAATGCTCTAACTGTAAAGAAAAGCAGGTATCTAGTTCAAAAGAATGCACATTTGCTCCAAGAATTCAAAAGAACTGAAGAAAAGAAGAAGCTCAAAGTCAATTTAAAACTGAAGATAACAGTTAAGTCAGTAAATCTATAACTGTAAGTGCAAAGAGAAGAAACTCTCAATTATCTAAATTCTGAAACTCAAATTCTTCAGTTAAATATAAGCAGAATTTGAATTCTGAAACATCTGTTAAGATTAGACAATTGAGAAATGACTCTGTTAATAAATTAGAAAGAATACAAGCAGTTGAAATTCCTACTTTTTAAAACAGTTATAATCTACTATCAGATGATAGTGATTAGATTCTGCTCTATTTCTACTCTCTTTTAGTATGAATATATAACAAAAATAATAAAAAAAGTTTAAAAATTCTTCAAAAATTATATTCATTTAAAACAATGTGAATAGAAACTCAAATTGTATTTATTCTTGTCTTCAGATTGTATTTGAATAAAAACTTAACTTTGTACTTCTTCAAGAATCAAACTTTGATACTGAGTAAAAGTATATCATTTCTAATTCAAGCTATTACTACTTTCTACCTGAAAAGTCTGAGATAAAATCAAGAGTAGTGATTTATGAAAGAAAAAGACTAAGATATTAATTTAATCTGAGATTTGATATTATATCTGACTTCAATATTCTAGTGAGTAATATTATAGATAAAGAGAATGAGTTTGATACTATTTAACTCATAAATATTTATAATGAAAAGTTATTGAAAGAAAACAACAATATCTGAATAATTAACAGAGAATTTTTGATTATAATTCTCTTAAAAAACTCTATCATTGCAGAAGACTTCAATGCACATCATTCTGATGAAATTTAGAATACAGAAGAGCAGTAAGAGCAGATAAACTGATTGAATAAACTTTTAAGTATTTAATAGATTTAGTTAGCAAGTCTGATCAATAAACATTCTTTAGAAAAGACATGAAACAGAAATCTATTATAGATCTAACTTTCATATTATAAAATCTAATTAAAAAAAGACTTATAAACTGATTTATGAATTTAAATGAGACCTCAGAATCAGATCATGAGATCATTCAATTTAATATTGAACTGAGTGAAAAATAAATGAGTGAAAGTCCTCTTCTCTCTAATCAGTATAACTTTGAAAAACCTGATTAAAAAGTAGTTAAAGAAAGTGTAAAACAGCTGAAATCTGAAAAGCAGAGTAAGCTGTATTGAAATCAGAGTCAAGATATCTCAAATAAAATACTTAAGAATAGAGTAAAGCTGATTACATCTATTCTTCTAACAAGTATTAGAGAAAATATTTCAAAGAAAAAGTCTTCTAAGTATTTCAAATCTTGATAAAATGAGAATATTACTTCTAAAAGAAAATAATTAGTCACTGCTAAGAGAGATTGAAAGAATAACTTAATATCTGATAAAGAGTTCAAAGCTATCTGAAATGAATATTTCTCAGATATTAAAAGAGCTGAAACAGACTTCTGAAACAGATTTCTTGAAGAAGTATAAGAAAAAGAAGTTTTTAAAGTCTTTAACTATACTAAAACAAGAAGTGTAGCAAAGCTTTCAATCTTAGAATATGAATTTCAGAATCAATTATATACAGCAAACTCTTTTGAGAAAAAGTGTTAAGCTTTTATAAGAATTCTCTTTTAAAACTTATCACATTTAGAAGAGAAGAATATGTCACTTTATAAATATATTAATGAAAATAACTGAAAATAATCTGAGCTTACACATGATGAACTAGAGTCAGCTATATTCTTAAGTTCAATTAAAACTGCTACAGAGTCTGATTCAATCAATTACTTGATTATTCAAAACATATATTTCTACTTGAAGAATGAATATTTTAAGCTCTTTTTCAATTTCTTAAAAAATGATTATCATTCTGAATACTGAAGAGAAGCTACTGAAGTAATTCTTATAAAATCTAATAGAAAAGCCTCAATTTCTAAGTTATATAGAGTAATATCTCTGTTAAACTGTTTGAAAAAAATTCTAGAAAAGATAATAGCTACTAGATTATCTTTTATAAGCTCTATTAGTGATTCTCTTCTATTCAATAAATAAATAAGAGATAGAAAACAATGTTCTACAATTAACACTGTTCTTTCAGTTGTTTATAACATTTAAATAACAAAGTATAAAGACCTGATCTCAACTGCAGTTTTTATTGATATAAAAGATATATTTAATCATGTTTCAAAGTCTAAGATAATTCAAACTTTGAAGATATTAAAACTATCACTTTCTCTAATAAAATGAGTTTACTATTTTATATTTAAAAGAATTATACAACTATTCTTTGATGAAATGAAATAAGATAAGACTGATATAAAAATAGAAGTACTGTAAGAATCTTCAATCTCATCAGTTCTATTTACAATATACACTGTATATCTATTCAAGAATAGAGAGATGAAAATAGTGAGATCTTCAAGTTATATAGATGATATTAATCTAGTCTACAGTTCAAAGATAATCAAAGAGAATTTAAAAGTAATTGAAAAAGCAGTAAAAAAAATCTTTGTTAGAGTAGATATCAATCTAATTCAATTTAATATGAATAAAACTGAGTTAATTCACTTTTTTTCAAGATTCAATAAGAAAAATCTAAGTCTAACTCTTTTAAATAAAGAGATTAAACCCAGTTTGAATGTTAAATGACTAGAAGTATGATTAAACTTCAAGTTGAATTTTAAATATCATATTCAATAAAGAATTATCAAGACAGAGAGACTACTAAATACTATAATCAGACTATTAAATACTGAGAGAGATCTATTCTTTCAGACTATGAGATAATTATATATAGTCTGTATTATCTCAGTAGCTGATTATAGAGTTCAAGTTTAATGAAATAATCAAGATAATTTCACTGAACTCTTTCAGTCTGTAAAATAGAGCTTTGAGAAGAATTCTCAAAGCATTTAAATTATCTTCTATTAAAGCAATGAAAATTAAAGCTTCAATTTCATCTTCTACTATTTGATTTAAAAAGATCTGCATAAACTATGTTCTGAGAGTCATGAAGATGAGCTTAAATCATATAATCAGAGAAAGAGTCTCTTCTTCATTTCTATTAATTAACTCAGAAAATGAACTGAACTGAAATAGATTTCTTGATTGAAATGAGAATAATATATTAAAGAAAATACTTTCTCAACTGTATAGACTATATTCACTGATTAAAAATCAATTTTCTTTATTAAATATTGAGAAAATTAATCATGAGAAGATATCTCTCTGAAGAGAAAAGCTGAAATCTCTCATAGACTTATAAATAAGTGAACTATCTAAAGAGAGAGAATATGAACAGTATTTAAAGAAGATCTCTATAATCAATATAAAAGACTCTATTCTGGTTTACTCAGATAACTTAAAAAATAAGAGTTTAAATAGATTAGATGCAGACATTGCTTATACTGAAGATAATATTAATTTCATCTCAGATTTCTGAAATTTAAGCTGTGAATCTGAAGTCTTTAATACTGAACTATTTATAATAGTAAAAGCTTTCAAACTTATTAAGATAAAATCTTATAAAAGAGAAAATAACTTGAAAGAGATATAAATATTCTCTGATAGTCAAGCAGCTTTGAAAAGACTTAAAAATAGTGAGATTTATAATAATCAAATGAATCTTGAGCTGATTTTAAATTCTATTATAAAGATTTAAAAGAGAAGATTATTAAAACTGATAATTCATCTATACTAAGTTCCTACTTATATAAATATTCATGATAATGAATTGACTAATTCAACAGTAAAAAAGAGTTCAGAATTAAGCAGATCTATTCAAAAAACAGTATTCTAGTCTTTTATAAAGAGAAAGATAAAAGAATCTTATTTAAATAAGTGAAATGAAAGCTGACAGAAATAAAAGAAGAGTATATATTATTCAAGATTTAAGATAAAATCTAAGTAAAAATCTTGTATAATTAAATATAAAAAGAAAATATTCTCATCTATAATTCAGCTAAAACTAGAATATGATTACTTCAAATCTTATATACAAAGATTTAATAATAGATTTGATTCAACAGAATACTTATTCTGCAATATAAATGAAAATTCTGAGTATATTATAATATATTATACATTATATAATAGTCTCAGAGTCAGATTGAAGAAGAAGTATAATTTAAATTAATTAAATATAAGATTCTTATTCTCAACTGAGACAGGAATTAAATATCTAATAGACTTTCTATCAGAAACTTAAGCAGCTATAAGAAAATAGCTAAACTCAGAAATATCTGAATATGAAGAGATGAAAATTGATTAGATATAGTCTATTAAAACAGCTATATACTATTATTTAATAATTTTAATTTATTATAGTCTCTCTTTACTTTACTTTTTCTTTTATTTTTTTTTTATTCTTTTCTATCTCTCTATTTAATATATCTATCTTTAAGACTGTGCTCTCTTTTCTTTTATCATGATATTATCAAATGATTTCAAAGTATCAGAAGATGTTAAAATACTGTAATTTATAAACAGTTTTTATATTCTGAGCTGGAATTTTCTGATTTTGCATATCTGAAATTGATAAATGTATAATAGTTAACTTCATAGATATAGGAAAAATTCTGAGAACTAAAAGTTCTCAGATAGATATTATAGTCTCTGACTATATACATCTATAATTGAAGAATAATAATAATAACTTATCTTATCAAGCTCAGCAGCTCAGATTATCACTCTGAGTATATTATGACTCAGCTCAATACATAGAGTATGACTGGTAATTTGGAAACTTTTCAGCAAGAAGTGTTGATATACAGAAATGTCTGAAATTGAGTAAAGAAAAAGAGGACTGAAGTTATTAGAGTGATAAATGAAAGATTCTCAGAAACTGAGTCTCAATATCATTCTGCATCTCAGTATCAGATGAACTCTGACATAGCTGCTACATTAGATGATTCTGATATTTCAACTGTGACTGATGAAACTGAGGATATACAATGAAGCTTTGCTGCTGCAAACAAAGATGTGGAAGATGAAACCCAGATTCTGAACAGTAACCTCAAAAATCAAGGGTGGGTGATATAGTTGGGAACAAGATTACTCGGCGTTTAAACTGAAGCATTGTCAGCTTTCATCAGCCTGTATAAGCCGGTGGATTTAGAAGATGCATCCAGCCCTTCCATATCCAGACACAGTATATGTTTCCATACCGGCCTAGGCTATGCGAGTCGCATCCGTCATCGCCGCAAATATCAAAATTCGTATGATTGCCTTCATGGTGAGTCCTCCACAAATAAAAAGATAGTTTTAGGATTATGACAACATATTTTCACTACATTAAGTGTCCGGATTTGAAAGTAATATGAACAAAACCAACACATTAAACAGTGCCCACTTTGTGCCAAAATGGAATGTATAACAATGCTCATTGCCTTCTTCCTGGCTCTTAATTCTGCTCGGGTAGGTGCGAGTAACCAATGGGACTGTCCACATATTCTTCAAGTAGGTCCTCAGCTGGCCAAACAACCTTTCCAGATCCCCTTCCACCCCGAGGAGTTTTGTCCTCCTTCTCTGGAGTATGTGTTGCCTCGTTTAGGACGAAGTCCTCTTTGTCATTCGTGTACCCATGCGATGCCACATGGAATTCCCGCTCCACCTGATCATCGGCTTTGAAGGCGAAGGTGCCATGCCAGCCTTTGGGGTCTTTGACATGTTTGCCTTCGACGGTGGTAGTATCGTGCATGTCAGATCTGAGTCATGGTCTAGTTAGCACTCGACAATATATAGTGTCTATGGCCAAGAGGTAAGGAAGGCAGGAACATAGAAACACACTCTCAAGGACTTGCAAGAAGCTGAGCAGGACTAACCGAATGAGAATCGCCTTAGGAGCAAGTTTTTGGTCTCGAGCTGTTGCATAGGCCAGGGCGACCAGAGTTTTTTTTTGACTTGAACTGATCGTGTTGCCGGCATAGAAAAAGTATCTGACAAAGTTGGCGCCCCCTCTAGTAGCCATATTTTCAAGAAGCAACAATGTAGGAGCAGACACCACTAGCAAGAGTCCAAATGTTTTATATTTTGATTGTAGGGATTATGAAGAGAGGGCCATCGCGCTCTTCTTATATTTTTATCTTTACCCTGTAAAGAGCGGGGTAAAGTACTGGCCCTGTTCACCATCCACCCATCACCACTTCGACTTATCATGGCATGTTACTCTAAAAGAACCGCTTCTTCTATCCTTGTTTTCTGGGCATCGAAGTCCCTTCAACTCTCGACTCCATTGTCACGTCCACCATCCATTTGCCGCTCTCGGAAGGTTGAGTTGAGCTTCTCATCTTCTTATTCATCAACGGTAATGTCGCGCGGGGAAGAAGATGGAAGGGAGCATCGCTTCGCCTACAACTGGATCGACGGTGCAGAGTCACTCGAAAGGTACAAACCTGGGGGTTATCATCCTATCATGATTGGGGATATGCTACACGAGCGATACCGCATCGTGGACAAGCTGGGTTTCGGAGGCTATTCAACTGTTTGGCTAGCCCAAGACACTCATCTGAAGCGCTATGTTGCTGTCAAAGTTGGCATAGCAAACTCGCTTCCGCATGAGACTAAGATTCTGCGAGCTCTTTCCGCGCCACTACCGTTGTCTTCATTCCTACATCCAGGGCGCAATTCAATTCCTTTCATCCTAGATGAATTCAAGCTACACGGTCCCAATGGAACTCATCCATGCTACACAATGACCCCCGCACGATGCAATCTCAGAGAGGTCTCTTTTAGCCGCCTGTTTCCTCTTGAAGTTACGCGGGCGCTGTCGGGTGGCCTCGCAGTAGCTATTGCATATTTGCATTCACGAGGCTATGTCCATGGAGGTTTGTCATTGTCATAATTTTTGTGCCTGAATCCTCCTCAGCTAATATTCATCTTTATTTAGATATCCACCTTCGCAACATCTTAGTTAAACTCCCATCAAGTTTCGATCAGCTCTCGATCGAACAGTTATATGAAGAATATGGCAAGCCTGAGACAGTCCCCATTATGGAGCGCAATGGCAAATCGCTTCCACCCAGTGTTCCAGCAAAGGCAGTGATCCCACTCCGCCTTGGGAAAAATGCAGAAGAATTCTCACTGTCTGACGCGCGTGTGCTTCTTAGTGACTTTGGCGAGGCATTTGCCCCAGCCTTGGAGGTTCGTCGCGGGGAAGACTGCCACACGCCGTTGGCTATGCGGGCCCCAGAAGCCCGATTCGAGCCGCATGCCCCGCTGTCATTTTCAGCAGACATTTGGAGCCTGGCCATAACAATCTGGGAGATTCTTGGCATGAAGGCCATTTTCAGTAGCGAATTCGCGACTGTGGATGACATAATCTCTCAGCAAATTGATGTGCTGGGACCAATTCCCTCAAAGTGGTGGGAGCGATGGGACGAACGGAGTCAATTCTTCAACCAGGATGGACGTCCGAAAGAACGCCGGGATGTGTGGCCTCCAATTGATGAAGCATTTGAGGAAGGCGTGCAGAAGTATCGACGGAAGCGTCGAGTAGGTGAGTTTGGTCGGGAGGAAACGGTTGCTCTCCTAGAATTGATGCGTCAAATGCTGGCATTCCAGCCAGAAGAGCGACCAACAGCCGAAGAGGTCCTCAAGTCAGAGTGGATGGTCAAGTGGGTGTTGCCTGATTTTAAGCGCAGTTTGCAGATAGGCCAAGCTCTCCAAGCAGGGTAGAAAAGGCCCAACAATGCAAAAAGAAGTATTATTAGTATCCATATCTAGAAGGCTATATAGCAGGCGGGAAGAGCAAGAATCTAGTACCTAGTAGCCTAGCAGCTAGCGACACCCTATCTACGCCTCTTTTTAGCTAGTCGACCTCTATCAGTTTACACAGTGAACCATGTAGTTATCGATTGACGTCCCACCGAGGCATTTAAATGATCACGATGCTTGGATTGGAGGTATCCGAAGTTACATATGTTCGTTTTTCTAGTGATAACGTAATCAACCACCCAACGCCCGCGTACACCCAACGCCCGCCCAATCTTCATTTTTTCATCCATCTTCAAACACTCACAACATGCACCATGAAGCAGTTATACAAGCAGCAATTGATGATTTGAACACACAATTGATTCCTAATTATACTGAGACTGCTAAAAAATATGGAATCAGTCAATATACATTATCACAGTGTTATAGAGGTGTTCAAACATTAAGAAAGAAAACAAGCTCTATTCACTGTAAAAATCTCTCAGATTTATAAGAAGAATGACTTCTTTTTCATATCAATTGATTAACAGATTGCAGTTTTCCTTGCATATCTCAAATCCTTTATAATCTCATTGTTGAGATTCTAAAAGCATCTATTAAAATTAACTAAGTATTATGATTCTATCAGTATTATAAGAATGTAATCAAGTCACTTTATCTTTGAATAGACTGATTATCAGAATCATAAATTTCACATTTAGTCTCATTTAATCTGATCTCATACATTTCTTGATATGAATTCTGCTGAGACTAATTATTAAAAAAACATACAAAGTAACTATATATCAGATCTTAAAATGAAATCATAACTTAGAAAAAATAAGAAAGTAATCTTATTTGATTTCATTTAGTTTCATTCTTAATATAAAGTTACTATTTTTAGACATTTTAAGGTTTTTTTTAGACTGTTTTTAATTTTTTAAAAAGTAATACTTTTTGATAACACTTAAATAAGATTTAAAGTCATTTAAAGTAATAAAAATAATTTAAATTGAGAAGTGAAAATCATAATCTTATTTGAAAAATATAATAAGAGTAGACAGTAAGTTTCACTGAGACAGTATAAGACTACTATTTAATGTTAAAATAGTGTAATAAGATTAGTTGAATTAATAATAAAATTATTAAATATTCTGATTCTGATCTTAGACACAGTTAGACTGGTCAGTGAGATCATGAATTTCACATTTAATTTCATTTAATCTGATTTTATACATTTCTTGACATGAGTCTCATCAGAATCAAGTCTTAAAAAAATCTGAAAATGAATCATTTCTGAGAGAAATGATGTGAAAAATAACCAGATTTAATTCAAGAACAGTGAAATGAGAGTAATTTCTCAGAATAAACTGTGAAAGATAATCATTCTTCTAAAATCAGAATGAGACTGAGACTGAAGATTAAAATCAGTCTTATTCAGTTCATTCAGTGATTGCTTATATAATCAGAATTTGATAATAATTATTAATAATGCTTATGAAACAACTAAATATATTCTTGTATAAGTTTATTCTTTACTTTCTCATGAAAACTACACTTCTCTGATATACTGTGATCAGAGGTATTAAACTGTCTGATAATTCTATGTTTTATAATCATGAGTTTCTTGATTATTTCTTCTTGTAATTGTCTCTGATAATAGTGATAAATATCTTAACTTGAGTTGAACTTTCACTTCATTCTCATCTCTGTCAATGAAATTATCAGAATATTATATATCATCAGTACAACAGTTGAATATATACTCTTAACAATTTTTCATAACTGTAGAATTGATTTAATGTGTAAATTTGTTGAATTATCTTGAAGATAGCAGTGAAATTCAGTTTTACAAGTATATAGTTTTATCTGATTTTCAGTTATAATCAATGTATACAAGTTCTGTTTCAAAGTTAGTATTATAGTTCTATGAAATATGAAGTGTTATCAAAGATTATTACTTACTAGAGAATTATATTTCACTGTCTTCATATCTCAAACATCTGCTTATTCAAATCTCTGATAGTTGATATTGTAGTAGTCTCAGACTAATTTAACATATAAGTCTCATTTCTTCTCTGTTCAATCTTGAGAAGTGTAGATATTAACTCAATGAAAGAAATCTAGTAGAGCTGCTACAGCATAGTACTCTGTAAAAGATTGTTCAGTTTTACTGTAGTAATATGTCAGTTTATCTCTTACAGTAATAATAGCCTGTGCTATAGCATCATCTCAGACTGAATTTCTTTTTAAGTGATTTAACTGCTTCTTAAGATGAGTAAATAAACTGTTATACACTTATCAGACTGACTGCAGTATTGATGTATAAGTGATTGAGACTATCTTTATTATCTTATAAAACTGAAACAGTAAATCAATTACATATTTCAACTGAGTTCACTTTATATCAGAAAGTATCAATATCTGAATCTTTTCTTAATCAGAGTATTACACTCAATGATCAATTATCTGATACAATTGAAGAGTCTGAATAGTTATTTTATATATTGAACTTTACTATGTTCTAACATTCTGTATTATATTCAGTGATATAACTAGACTGACCGTGTGATCATGTCTGAGACCAGGACCAGATTTTTTAATAGTCTCATTATCAATTCAACTGATCTCATTACACAGTTTTAACATTAGATAGTGATTTCATACTGTCTCAGTGAGACTTACTGTCTACTCTTATCACATTTTTCAAATGAGATCATGATTTTCACTTCTCAATTTAAATTATTTTTATTGCTTTAAATGACTTTAAATCTCATTTAAGTGTTATCAAAAAGCATTACTTTTTAAAAAATTAAAAATAGTCTAAAAAAAACCTTAAAATGTCTAAAAATAGTAACTTTATATCAAGAATGAGACTAAATGAGATTAAATGAGATCACTTTCTCATTTTTTTCAAGTCATAGTTTCATTTTAAGATCTGATATATAGTCACTTTACATGTTTTTTTGATAGCCAGTCCCAGCGGGATTCACGCCAAGAAATGTATGAGATCAGATCAAATGAAATCAAATGTGAAATTCATGATCTCAGCAGCCAGTCTAGATATAACTGATTTATTTATTTGTTAAATATTATGAAATTATTGTTATTGTTTAGAGAAGATACAAATTACATTAATAATGTTTTGAATCTATGATATTTAAATTATTAGTCAATCTATTCAAAATTAACAGTAGTGTTATCAAAAAGTATTATTAAAAAGTAATATTAAAAAGTGTTGTTAAAAAACATTATCTTTTACAAAGTAGATGTAAAAGTTACTTGAGTAATCACTTTCATCTTATTCTCATCTCAAGAATCAGTCATCTCATTATTCTTTATCTCAATGTTAAGATTCTTTATCAGTGTTTATATTACAAGTTAAATCACATGAGTAATGCAGAGAATATAACCTTGTTTATCATTTCAGAAATGCAAAGTCAATTTTTACTTTAAGCTTTTCATTATAGTGTAGTTATTCACAGCATTATCAGTTGTAATTATAAGAAGACTGAGACTAATATCTCAATAGTCATTTTTAATCACAGTTATTAATATCTCTGTCATATAATTCTCAGTATAACTACTGATTAATGATTCAAATTCAATTAATATCTCTTGATAAGTTCAGTTCTCATCAATGTAATAACATATAACTCTTATAAATGTAAGATTATTTGTACTAGTTTATACATTCACTGTAAGAGACACTCTTTGATGATTCTTCAACTCTGATTCTAGATATTGTATATTGACTTTGTAGTGTATCTCAAGGTTGAACTGAAGACAGAATTGATATGAAATATGAAGATTTGAATTAAGTATTTAAAGAAGTGTTCAGAATTCAGAGTTTTCAATTAATTGAAGAGAAAGATTCAGAGATATATACATATAAAGTAATTATTTACAGAAGTTATCAGATGAGAGTTATGAAATCAGAGTACTGATATATGATTATTTTTACATGATTTTCTTCAAATTAGAAAGTTAGTATTATCAAAAATTATTATCTGATAGAGTAACTTATCAGCTCAGTAGTAATTTTCTGATTATTTTTCTTTTATTATCTGCATTCTGATAACTTCAGATGTTAAGAAATTTCTTCAGAGTTATAATCAGTTTATGATGAATATTTCTGAATGAAGTTACAGTGATTGTAGCAGAGAGATGACTCTTCAGTAATCTATAATATAATCTGTTAATAATTATTCTATAGATTATCTCAGTATTTGTGTTGAGTTTTTCATAAATTTTGTAATCTGAAATCAGATGTGAAGAATGAAGTAATTATTCATTATAATTAAAAGAGAGCATTCTGTGTTAAATTGTAAATAATATAGACTTTGTGATTCACAGTGATTTCTTGAAGAGTTTATGAATCTTCAATAGAAGTAAAAGAAGTGAAAGAAGTGAATTCAGAAGATATAATAATAATTTAAGAAAGATAATAATTTATTTTCAATAACTGATCACTGATGTGTGTAAGAAGAATTAATATAAGAGAAAATAATCTTGTTTCTTAGCTTAGTTATAATTTTAGTACTAACTCAGATTGAATATTATTGATGTATAAAAGTAAATAAATAATCTTAATTAATCTCTGTCATATTTCTTGAAATATATTAATATTGTGAAAGAGAGTGTTATTAAATTATATTATCAGATAATATCATTAAAAATATATTAATATTATAAATATCAATATTAAAAAAATGTTAATACTTATACATTATAGTGATTTGTGAATCATGATAGTTAAATATATATATATATATATATCATTTCTGACTTGATTACAACTTGTACAATAATTTTTGAAAACTTAAAATCAATTTTAATTATTAATAATTAAAAACTTAAACTTATAACTAACTAATATAAAAAGAAAAAAATCTACTTCTTCTCTTTCTTATTCTTCTTATCATTCTTTATAATTCACTTCTCATTTTTCTTCTTCTTCTTTTTCTTCTTCTTCTTCTTCTTCTTATCTGAGATGATAATTATTTCAAAATCTCTCTTCACTGCCTTCTCAGAGAAGAATTTCTGCTACTCTCTCTTAGCCAGATTAATCTGTATCTCAAAATCCCGCATTTTCTGATCTGCTGCCTCAGGTTTCATCTCAGTGATAAGCAGATTGACATGCTCAGAGAGTAGAACTGCCTTCTCAATATTCTGAATCATGAAGCACATTTGAGACCTGAATAAGATCTCAATTCTCTTCTTCTCTGTCAGCTTCTGCTAATCAATTAGAGAACAGAAGTGTTATCAAAAATTATTATCTCTTAATAAATAAAAAACTTACCAGTTTTGACTTCTTTATCTTCTACTTCAACACTTTCTCAATCTTCTTCTATTACTACTTATTTATAGTAACACTCTTTTTCTCTCTCTCTCTCTTTATTTTAAACTCAAATCATTCTCAGAACTTCTTCTGATCTCACTGCTACTGTATAAGACTCTTCACTATCTTCTTCTTTAATCTCTCATAGACAGTAT